CCTTCCTTCCTTCCTTCCTTCCTTCCTTCCTTCCTTCCTTTCTTTCTCTTTCTTTCTGTCTTTCTCTGTTCTTTCCTTCTTTCTTTCTTCTTTTTTTGACAGTCTTGCTCTGTTGCCCAGGCTGGAGTGCAGTGGCGTGATCCCAGCTCACTACAACCTCTACTTCCTGAGTTCAAGTGATTCTCCTGCCTCAGCCTTCTGAGTAGCTGAGATTACACACACCACCACACCTGGCTAATATTTGTATTTTTTTTTTTTGAGACGGAGTTTCACTCTTGTTACCCAGGCTGGAGTGCAATGGCACGATCTCGGCTCACCGCAACCTCCACCTCCTGGGTTGAAGTGATTCTCCTGTCTCAGCCTCCTGAGTAGCTGGGATTACAGGCACGTGCCACCATGCCCAGCTAATTTTTTGTATTTTTAGTAGAGATGTGGTTTCACCATGTTGGCTAGTCTGGTCTCAAACTCCTGACCCTGTGATCCTCCCACCTTGGCCTCCCAAAGCGTTGGGATTACAGGCGTGAGCCAATGCACCCGGGCTATTTCTACAGCCCTTTCAGCTCTCTGGTTCTGTGTGTCTGTGACTGTGAACCTTTTCAGGACAGGAGGCTGGAGATGCGTCACCTGTAGTCCGATAATCACACATGCCAACGTGAGGGTGAAAGATGGGCCACAAAGGGCCCTCAAGAGCTCCACCCAATTTCAACATTTTTCTAAAGACACAATTTTTCTGAAAAAGCAGGGCTAATTTGGACAACAACTAGGCCCAAAAAGTAAGTGTAAGCATGATTTTCTGGAAAGAAGAATCAGGGAGAAAATAAATTATGTCTAAGCGGCAATTCTGGAGGACAAGAGGTTTACCCTGGAAAAGTAACCCCCAACACCATCTTCCACAAGTCTCATGTCTGGGACTACCAAAAGCCCAAGACATTGCTCATGCCTCAAATGAGAATTTTCGTCATTAATAGTGGTTTCTCTAGACTAGCTCAATGCTCAAAGGAAACATTTCTCTGCTTGGGGAGGCAGGTTTCAATGCACAGGAACACAATAAAAGCAGGGCTGGGTGCTCGCATCTGGCGTGGAAAAGTGCCCTGGGATTTGAGGCAAAGAATCTTTCCCGAATCTCACAGCCTGTGCTTCCCAAACTTCCCCTTCCTCCCTCCCTTCCTTCCTTTCTTTCTCCCTCCCTCCCTCCCCTCCTTCCTTTCTTTCTCCCTCCCTCCATCCCTCCCTCCTTCCCTTCCTTCCTTCCCTCTTTCCTTCCTTCCTTCCTCCTTCCCTCCCTCCCTCCGTCCCTCACTTCCTCCCTTCCTTTCTTCCTTCCTTCCTCCTTCACTCCCTCCCTCCCTTCCTCTCTTCCTTCCTCCCTCTCTCCCCCCTTCCTTCCTTCCCTCTCTTCCTCCCTTCCTTCCTCCCTCCCTCCCTCCCTCTCTCCCTCCCTTCCTCCTTCCCTTCCTCCTTCCCTTCCTCCCTCCCTCCCTTCCTTCCTTCCTTCCTTTCTTCCTTCCTTCCTTCCTTCCTCCTTCCCTCCCTCCTTCCTTCCCTTCCCTTCTCTTCCCTTCCCTTCCCTCCTTTCCTCCCCTCCCCTCCTTCCTTCCTTCCTTCCAACAATGGGTTTTAGGCAGGGATGGTTAGGGGCTCCCCAGTGAGCACTCTTTAACCTGGCAACTATTGTGTTCAAAGTCATTACTGCAGGCACAGTGTGACTTTCCTTCCTTCCCCACCTCCCTCCCTCCTTCCCTCCCTCCTTTCCTCTTCCTTCCTTCCTTTTCTTTTTTCACTCTCTCCCTCCCTCCTTCCCTCCTTCCCTCCTTCTCTCCCTCCCTCTCTCCTTCCATCCCTCCCTCCCTTCCTCTTTCTTCCTTCCTTTTTCCCCTTCCTCCTTCCCTCCTTCCTTCCCTCACTCCCTCTTTCCTTCCTTCTTTCCCTTCCTTCCTTCTTTCCTTCTTTCCTTCTTTCCTTCCTTCCTTCCTTCCTTCCTTCCTTCCTTCCTTCCTTCCTTCCTTCCTTCCTTCCTTTTTTCCCTCTCTCTTTCTCTCTCCCCCCACCCACTGCTGTCTTTCTCCCTCTCGGTTTTTTAGAAACACACCCTGGCTCCGTTGCTCTGACTGGAGTGCAATGGCACAACCACAGTTCACTGTAGCCTCAGTCTCCTGCACACGAGTGATCCTCCCCTCAGCCTCCTGAGTAGCTGTGACTCAGGACTGTCCCACCTCGCCCACGTTTATATTTTGTAGCAATTGGGGTCTCACTATGTTACCCAGGCTGGTCTCAAATTCCTGGGCTCAAGCGATCCTCCTGCCTTGTCTTCTCAAAGTGCTGGGATTACAGGTATGAGCCACTGTGCCCGGCCCCAAATCCCTTCTCTTTGTTTCTCCATAAGAGCAAGTAAACTGACTGCCTCCATCCTTGTTCTCATAACACTTTGAACACATCGTGAAAATCCACAGCCCACAGAGGCATTGTCATTCCATTTTATGGATGAAGAAATTGAACCTCAAAGTAAGACAACGGGAACTCATCCAGGAGACATCTGCTCAGGGCTGGAGCCCAGTCCTCTCCACTCCGAAGCCCTTTCTTTGCCCAGCTGTGGCTACAAGGAGACGCTGTGCTTGTGCAGTCTGGCGCTCCTCCAGCCCGGCTTTATTTTATTTTGGACTCTGGGGCCACTCTTGTTCTGCGTGCACAGAGCAGTCCTGGTCACGGCAATCCTTTCTGTGGAAACACAAAGCAAATCCTCAGAGTCCGATCCTGGGGACCCACCTGGCTCAGGGGCTCACCAGCGAGGCAGCACTCAAGGGCACAAGGCTTCAGAGATGCCTTCTATAACTGGACAGCTTTTGCTCAGAAAGATGCACTCTGCCCTCTGCATATGCCACAGTAGACAACCTTAGGATTTTTCCTTCCTTTCCCTTTCTTTCTTTTTGTCTTTTCTTTCTTTCTTTCTTTCTTTCTTTTTTTTTTTTTTTTTTTTTGGTCTTGAGACAGGCTCTTGCTCTGTCACCCAGGCTGGAGTGTAGTGGTGCAATCATAGTTCACTGGAATCTCCGCCTCCCAGGCTCAAGTGATCCTCCCACTCAGGCCTCCTGAGTAAATTGGACTACAGGCACATGCCACCACACCTGGGTAATTTTTAAGTTTATTGTAGAGATGGGGTCATTTTATATTGCATAGGCTGGTCTCAAACTTCTGAGCCCAAGGGATCCTCTTGCCTCAGCCTCCCAAATAGCTGGGCTCACAGGGGTGAGCCACTGCACCTGGCCTCTTCCTTTGTATTCTTCAGCCTCCAGAACTGCAGTCGTTCAACATGAAGAATGGAGAGTGAGCGCTGGAAAACCGTTGGAGGTGCCTTTATAATGGGATCATCTGCTTGTATCTGCCCTTTGGAAAAATCAATGAACTGGATTTTTGGACAGTCTGAAAATATTCATTAGAACACCATGGGGGAATGAAGTCCACCCTTCCAGCCCTCATCGATTTATCTGAAGTTGCTTAGATGTCACAACTTCCCCAAATAGACCGAGGAGGTTGACCCAGAGAACAGCACCCAGGACCTTGTGCCGCAGTGCACAGCTGCAAGACAGATAGCTATTCTAAACAGAGGCTTTTTTTTTTTTTTTTAAAGACAACATGGCTCTTCCCAGAAACAAATATAAATCCTATAATGACACCCATTGGGCTGGTGGAAATTCAGTAGAGACACTTTCATAGTTAGGAACTTTGTAAGTTGTGGCTTAATATATTGCCCCAAGATAAATTATGGAAAAGCTCCATGTATGGGATTGGTTATAAAATCCGTTGCCAAACTGTCTTTCTCCTGGGGCTGGTGGGCTGGGAACCAGAGCCTGTCTCATGCGTTAGAGAGTCCCCAGGGAGTAAACCTGGAATGCTTCAGACTCAAGAGAACTTGTAGGCCTACAAAAGTCCAGTGCCTCTTCAGAGAGTTGGGTGTAATTTTCCTCCTCGTTGGGAAGAGCCCAGGCTCCCTGAGTCCCAGTCTAGCTATCTTTGCATTGTCTAGCTAAGCTCTTTCCGTCAGCCAGTGGCCTCAACTTAATTTTCATCACATCATTATTTCCGTGGCCCAGACATGCCAATGGGACATCAAAATTATTTTGATAAGAACTTTACTGCATCACTTAGGATTATAGCAAATGACACAGTTGCTTTCCTTTCCCCGAGGAATCGCTGGCAAAAGGAATAAAACCGTGTAATCCAAGGCAAGGGGGAAGGGAACTAACTTTTATTGCATTTCTCCTAAATCCAGGTGCTTTACATAGATTATCTCAGATAAGTTAATCCTAGGCAACAACCCTATGAGAATTGTCATTTAACAGACAAAGAAAGGGAGATTTAGGGAGGTTGGGAAAGCCACCGAAGACCTCAAGACCAGAGCTGAAAAGCAGGCAGATGTGGGGCCAAAGTCCAGAATGTTCTCATTGACAAAGCACCAGCTAAAACGCAGAATACCAATGACTCGTAGAGCCATTTCCGGGCCTCCGACTGAGCAGGAGGGAGAAGGATCTTCAGGAGCGAGTGTCTCAGGGCTGGAGAGAGATCGGCACTGGAGTGCTGGGGAACCCAAACCTCAGCGTAAATGGCCAGTGTTCCTTCTCTAGAATGCACTGCTCCCTTGTTCAGTGAGAAGTGAGTCTGCCGGTGGGTACAACACCACATGACATTTCCAGCTCCATAGACGACAGCCCTCACCTAGCTATCAAGGTATGCAGGGCTGACTTTTCACCTTCAGCCTGCTCCAGGGAATGGCCAGATGGCATTCAGGCTGATTCTGTGCTTCTGGCTGACTAATCTCTCCAGGTACAAAAGTAAACATGGAGCTTGGGGACACCATATGTCCCTGACTCATAGAGCTTGCAGGAATCACCATCATTCTACGTGGCATCTGCTTTCCTGGGCCAAGGTGGGAGGTAAGTCAATCTAGTGGAGGAAACGTGTCTTAAAATACAAGGAAGAGTGATCGGAAACATAAAGAAGTGTGCACCTGGTTGCTAGATCCTAAATGACATTTATTTTTCAAATGTGCTCTGTTTTGCTAGACAGTGATCGACTTCCTTCACTCTTGCCACGGGCCCACATGGGGCTGGCCACTGTCTACATTCAAGGGTTGTGAACTGAATTGAGGGGTTGTATTCTTCAACCATTTTCTCCCTTGAACTGTCTTGAATTTTCCCCTAAGTTGAAAATGAAGCAGACCCTCGCTGAGTTTAAAGGAGATCTGACTGACTTTGGGAAGTGGCATCCAATAAGACGCCTGTTTCTTCCGTCTGCTCCAGGGTGCGCCAACAGGAGAACGGAAAGCTAAAGGTGAGGTAAGGGTATAGGGTCAGCTGCTTGGGGCTGGGATTGCTAGCAAACTTCTGAGGACGGGCAATGACCGCTCATTAGGAGGACATGACTCATGCAGCTTCTAGCACTGTTTCTGAGTCAGCCAAAGTAACGAGAGGGTGAAGTAGCCACGTCCAGCGTCTTGAGCGTAGGATCAGAGAAGTGTTGAGATGAAGGAGTTAAACCTGCCCAATTCATTCCTTTCCCAGAGGCAATAAGTCAAGCCTAGAGGGGTGGTATAACTTACCTAGGATTGCGCACTTGTGGGAGGTAGGTCCATGCGGAACTAGAGACCGGGGCATCTCCAAGATCCAAGGCTTTTCCAGAAAGAAAGACTCCATTGAGCCCTCTAGTATTTCCGAGTCACTCTGAGCCACATGCCATGGGACCGCGGGAATGAACGGCCTGCATTTCACAGGGTTAGGATGATCACCTGCACCTTGCAACCAGAGCCTTAGGAAGGTCACGAATGACCCAGGCCTAAGACAACAGCGAAAGGCATTCTAAACCAAATCTTCTCCACTGTCAAGAGCTTTATGGCATCTGTGGCCGTTTCCCATTTCCTATTCCATCGACCTTGAGAAATTTGTGAGATGGGTCTTGTCACTACTACACACATAAGGAGGTTGAGATCCTCAAAGTTCAAGTGATCCATCCAAGGGCACCCTGTCAACTGCATGGAGAGGACATTAGAACTTATCCCAGAACTTCAGGTATTCCAAAGCTCTACGCATACATAGTCTTGATATTGTTCTTAGACTCATGGGCTCATAAATATGGAAGACAGACTGAGAATTTATGTTTGCTTAAAATACTTCAAAAACTTCCTATGGTAGGGCACCAGCTGATGGGTGGGGCTGGACAGAAACGGCCCAGAGGAAAATAGAGGAGTGCTTACTTCCAGTGCATACTCCATTTCCAAACCGCGATCACACTGGCCCCTGCCATGAAGAACATAGGATCTTCTCGGCTTTCTCTATCTTTCGGGTTTTGTTTCCATAACCAAGTCTCTGAGCTTTTCTTCTAAAGCAAAAATTCCAATTCCAGTTCAAGAATGTTTCTAGGCTGGGCGCAGTAGCTCACACCTGTAATCCCAACACTTTGGGAGGCCGAGGTGGGTGGATGGCTTGAGGTCGGGAGTTTGAAACCAGCCTGGCCAACATGGTGAAACCCCATCTCTACTAAAAATGCAAAAATTAGCCTTGTTTGGTGGCACATGCCTGTAATCCCAGTGACTTGGGAGGCTGAGACAGAAGAATCAACTGAACCCAGGAGATGTAGGTTGTCGTGAGTGGAGATTGTGCCACTGTACTCCAGCCTGGGCAACAGGGCATGGAAAAAAGCCAAAAAAAAAAAAAAAGAATTTAAGAATGTTTCTAACACTGGTCCATGACAGATTTTTTTTTTTTTGATATGAAGCCTCACTGTTGCCAAGACTAGAGTGCTCCAGGGTGCAAGGAATCGTCCCACCTCAGCCTCACAAGTAGCTGGGACCACAGACACATGCCACCACACCTGGCCAAGTTTTAAAATGTGTTGTTTTTGTAGAGATAGGGTCTCCCCATATTGCCAGGCTGGCCTCAAACCCATGGACTCAAGTGATCCTCCTGCCTTGTCCTCCCCAAGTGCTGGGATACCAGGTGTGACCCATCCCACCCAGCCCGTGACAGAGCTTATTCTTCACTTTTGAGGAAGCTGGACTCCATCTGTTTAACAGAGTGGGGTTGCTTTTAAGAAATAAAATCTTAGAAAAATAATCCTCTCCGAAAATGTAAAAATAACATTCCATGGTTTCTTGCCCATCAGAGTAAAATTTTATTGAAGGAGAAGAGTTGGTTCAGAAGTTCAGTGAGGTCACTGCTGCTGGGGAGAGACAGAGGGGCGCACACCAGTTACTGTTGTAAATGGGGATGTCTTCGTGGCAAGGATATTTCAAAAGGAAATGGTTTTGAAAAGCTTATGCTAACCTTACCGACACATGTGAATGTCCCAGAATCATGGCCTCCTGCTGCACTTCGCCTTGGAATGTCATATGTGAATTCTCTTCTGCCAGCATCAGCATCTCCACGTGCAGATCCGTCTCAACAGACCCCTTCAGCTGATGCCCTCCGTGCCCCCGACACAGCCCCTTGGACCTTGCCTTCCACATGCCCCCTGCACCAGCTTCCTCCTGGCAGCACCTTCCTTTCTGCTTGAGCCTTTCCCAGGCCTCCTGCCTCCGAGAAAGTCAGAAGTCGGAGCCTCCTTGAGAGCCGGTGAGAGCTCCCTCTCTCCTGGGCAAGCGGTGCTGATGCGGGATCTCTGCATCCATCTACCAAACAGCCATTGAAGAACTGAGCTCCAGCGGCCACCGTGGTAATCTCCACAATCCCGTGAGAGTGTCTGTCCTTCTTTGCCCTCCTTCCCCGCTTCCTCACAGTGTTTTAAACAAACTCCTGATAAGGGAATCTTTCTTTCAAGGTCATCTTCTTGGGGGGACTCAAATTAATATACCTCAAACTCAGCATGCTTGAAGCATGTGCCTCTCCCTCCTGTTTTCCCATCTCAGTTATGACAACACCCCGACACCAAACCAGAAATCAGAGAGATTCTGTTTTATATACTCTTTCTTCCGCATTTGAAAGCCCATCTTTCAACTGGACATCAATTTCTAAAAATTACACCTCAGAAAATCTCTTTGATTAGCTCTTCCCTCACTCACAGTTCTCTCTAGCTGAAACTCAACAAAACCTCGGATGATTTTAATAGTTTCCTAACTCCTCTATAAATCTTTCCTATATCCTCTCTCCAGTTGATTCCTCATAGAGCCACATGACCTATCCTTCAAAAACACAGCTTCGATCACATATTGCCCTGCCGGAAACTTTCTGAGAGCTCACCCCTGCCTCCAGGAGAAGGCCCAAGCTCCCGAGCTCTGCAAAGATCCTCATGGGCAGGTCCTGCTTTAAGTTTCTCCAGGCTGGGCCCGCACCCACTGGCAACCTGCCGACAACCCACCACCCACCCTCTACTTACAAGTCCCCAGACAATATTCGACCATTGTCAACATGGGCTTTGCGCATGAACCTTAGAGTGTCTTTTCACTTCTTTTTGTGGTCTGATGGATTCGTAACACCCCCAGACAACCTAATTGAAATTCCTCTTGCCTGACCCCCACAGCCCAGTTAGGCTGATCTTTCCCCTGTCCCTGCGCACAGGTGCTATCATAGCAGGTACAGCATATTCTCACTCAAGCGATGTTGCTACTTCTCTGTGAACTCCTTCAGTGCAGGGAGCATTTCTTACTGTATGCATTTCTGTAGTTCCTGCGTAAATGATGACTAGCACAAAAAGTGGCTATCCCATAGTTACATCTTTCCAGGTCCTTAGGTCAAAAGCTGGAGTCATCCTGACCCTTCCTTTCCGTTATATCTCACACATACAGTCCGTCAAGATATCTGCTGGTTCTGTCTCAAAAGCCCATCTAGAAGCCTGCCACGTCCCACTACCCCATGTTACCAGTGGGATCCACCCCCACCTCATGCCTGGGTGATTGCAGGAGCCTCCTGCTGCTTCCTTCGTTTCCACCCTCACCAACTTACAGTCTATTTCCAACAAAGCAGGCAGTCATCTTTTAAAGATAGAAGGTGGTTTGAGCCACACCCCACTCCGGTACTCCCAATGTCATCCCATTTTACTGGGATCCAGTAACACTTCCTGTGTCTTCATCTTACTGCCTGGTTCAGATCACCTACCACCCTCTCCCCTGCCCCTCGGCTTCACCCCCAGGCTCCAGCTCACCTAGAATGCTCTCCCCTCAGCCTCGGTGTGTTTAACATCTCACCTGCTCCATGCTCCTGCTCCAATGCCACTTTCTTAATGAAAACCAAACCTGCAGTGGGAATCACCTGCCCATGCCTCCCTCATTCCCCACTCACTGGCTTTGAGCATACTCTAAAACTCATTTATTTCCTACTTTCATTTCTTCCTGGCTGCCTCTGTGCATGAGAAGACAAGCCTCCCATTTGCTGAAAACTGGCAAGTGTTGGGAACAGTCTGACACACAAAAGGTGCTCAGTAGCTTTACTACGGGGATAAATGGAAGAATGGGTACAACTTCTTTGACCATAGAGTTACTTTATGTGTCCAAGAATGGTTTGTGGCTGGGGACAGTGGCTCACACCTGTAATCCTAGCACTTTGGGAAGCTGAGGCCCACAGATCACTTGAGGTCAGGAGTTCAAGATCAGCCTAGCCAACATGGCAAAACCCTGTGTCTACTAAAAATACAAAAATGAGCCAGCATGGTGGCGGTGCCTGTAATCCCAGCTACTAGGGAGGATGAGGCAGGAAAATTACTTGAACCTGGGAGGCGGAGGCTGCAGTGAGCCAAGATTGCACCACTGCACTCCAGCCTGGGTGACAGAGCAAGACTCAGTCTCAAAAAAAAAAAAAAAAAAAGAAAGGTTTAAAAAGTATATCTCAGAAACATGGCCTTTTGTTAAACTCCTGGTTAAGATCACCTTCCCATTGAACAAATAATATTTGACAAGTTATAGAGTAATTTATATACCCAAGGTTTAAAAATATTAAAAAATTTAATATTTTTTAATGTTAAAAAATGACAAAAGGTGAAATTTATTTTAATAATATTTTATTTAACCTAACAATTCCAAAAATTATGTCAGTATGTAATCAATATAAAACTATCAATGATCTATTTTACATTATGTTATATATTAAGTCATTACAACATAGTATGTATTTTACACTAAATGACACATCTCAGTTTGGACCAAACACTTTTCAATTGATCATTAGCCATTTGTGCTACCATATTGAACCGTGCAGATCAAAGCAATTCCCAGTTTAGGAAAAGGTCCTGGGTGGAAGATTGGCTTTGTTTGCTTGTCTTTGGAATAAATGAGTTACTGGAAATATATCCTAAATTCTAGTGCTTTAAATGAGTTACTTTTCAGGTCAACCAATATAAATTCCATTAATGATTCCTAAATTTGACTGTTAATACTCAGTGACATCTAAGCATTGTTGAAAGCTTGATATCTATTGGATATATCATTAGAGTCCAGTCTGCTGTAGGGCTGAGTTAGCAGAGCTGAAGCTATTTCGTTATTTTTGCACAAAAAGACATCTACCTAGGTCAGACACCCTGTTCCCCAGGCACCATGATTTTTAGAGTTGAGAAGCGATATGAGGAGAAGCCGTTCCCCGATGGCTCTTTCCTCCCACCCATTTGTGGATGTGCATCGATTCAGGGCTGTGGTGTGAACCTAGAGAAAATTGCCTGATAGCCTTGGGTCAAGCAATTATACTGTTTTTCCATATTTACATCTCATTGCCACATTGTGAGCAACACAGCTGAACTGTGAACTGTGAGAGGTTATGTGTTATCAGTAGCTTTAAGAATTTGATGCATTGATTACTTAAGGCTTTTTTTTTTTCAGAGAAGAATCTATGGAACTCATGGAGTGAGGCATTTCTCACTTGCTTTAAATCCCTTGGGTAAGTCAGTGTGGGCCAAGGAATCTGAGGATCAGAGACCTTGTGACTTTTTAAGTGAAGATTTACTATGTGCTGGGGCCCATTGAGTTTTATTTTATTGACTCATCCCAAACTCTAAGAGGGAGAGACCTTTATTGTCCCCATCTCACTGATAGATTCTGGGAAGGTTAAAACATGATGAAAGAAAATAGACCGAAATAATACAGTAATATGTAATTGAGCATTTTTGCCAACATTTTTATGTGTTTTAAAATGGCACTTTCTGGCTAGGGTGGTGGCTCATGATGCCTGTAAACCCAGTACTTTGGGAGGCCAAGGCTGGCAGATCACTTGAGGCTAGGAGTTCATGACCAGCCTGGCCAACAGCGAAACCCTGTCTCTACTAAAAATAGAGAAAAATAGCTGGGTTGGCCTGTGCACCTGTAATCCCAGGTACTCGGAAGGCTGAAGCATGAGAATCACTTGAACCTGGGAGGCAGAGGTTGCAGTTAGCCAAGATCGCACCACCGCACTCCAGCCTGGGCAACAGAGTTAGACTCTGTCTCAAAAAACAAAAAACAAAAGCAAGAAAAGAAAAGAAAAATAAAATGACATTTTTTCTTTCTTTCTTTCTTTTTTTTTTTCAAAA